GCACTCTACCACTTGAGCTACAGCGCCACTTCCGGTTTTCTGGTGGTTTATTGGAGATAGGAGTCTCACGGTCTCTCCTGCCTGGGCTGGTTTTGAACCGCGATCCTCAGATCTCAGCCTCCTGAGTAGCTAGGATTACAGGCGTGAGCCTCCAACACCCAGCTTCATTCTCCTAGTTTTTTGATGTTCATTGCAAATTGACTATTTGTTGATAAACATTAAATTGTTCTTATTATTCCATTTACCCTGATTGTATTCCAGATGATTCTCAACTTATTTTTCCCTGACTTTTCTATTTTAACTGTTTATTATCTTGGAAGTAATTGTACAACGGAGCTGCCAGTTCTGAATGCAATGCATTTTGTTCATGGTATCCCCTTTCCACCTTTCTTATCTACTTTTGGGTGTATTATTTAGTCTTCTTTTGCTTCACTTTCTTTTTTCCTTCACTGTCTCAATTCATTTTTGAGAATTTTATATATCCCCAGTCCTTAATAGTCTAATCATTATGTATTTGATTTTGCTATGATAGATATATATTTTACTATTTGAAAATCTTGTTGGCTTTAAATGTCTTATTTGTAGATTTTATATATATCTTATTTACTGGTAATTTTTTATTCTCTTACAATCTTCCTCCATGTATTTTTTACCCTTTCTCTCTCATAAATCATTGAAAATTAGATGTAGGTAAGCTCCAGGCACACAGCTCAACTTTATGTGGAAGTTGTTGAATTCATAATATAATACTGAATGGAAGTTGGTTGGTGGACAATAGGTTTTACATCCATGATCAATTATCTCCTTCTAGACAGAATTTTTTAATCACCACTTACTAACAAGAATGGGGAGAAGGAATTCTTTTACACTGTTGATGAGTATATAACCAACTGCTTCCAATATAGAAGGCAGTTTGGAGATTCCTCAAGAAAATTAAGCCAGAACTCCCTTGTTATTTAGCAATACCACTTTTGGGCAGTGTTACACAATATGCACATGTAGATAGAGTAAGGCACAACAGCGTTTGTTGCTGTACTATTTCCCCATAGACACATCATGGAAACAGAGCAGAAAAACATATTGGAGTTTTACACATCTATGCAAAAAGTTAATTATGTTATTTGTAGAGAAATGAATGGCTCTTGAAAAATTTTCCATAAGTAAGTCCAGGTCAGCGATTACAAAGATGATGTTTTCTCTGATATGTGGAAGTTAGATCCTAATTATAAATATAAATGCTAGTTTACATATGCATATAAACATGTTAATGAAATCATGGTGGCATAATTCCTACAAAAACTAAGTTAAACAAACATAAGGCTAAAACATTTGAATTTGGGTTCCAACTAGCTAGGATTACAAAAGTAAGCCACTGGCTCCCAGTTGATATGTATGAAATTTAGACAGAGTCATACTGTGTATGTGTGTGTGGGTATATATATATATATATATATATGTATATATATAATTGTTTTATGCTTCTGTCTTTTTTACAAAAATATACAAATTTAGGTATTGTTTTATGCTTCTTCTTTCTTACAAAAACATACAAATTTAGGTAGTGTGAATGTGTTACAATAGCATGTTGCATTGTATTTTCATTGTGCTGATTTTATTTACTTTGGTTATATGCCAATGTAAATAGAAGGGAAATTTTCTTTTGCTCTTTTAGCATCCCATGCTGTGATCTACAGGGCAACTCTAATTTGCATTTACCACAATGGCATTTACACTGACCTAGACTTTGCATATTCACAAACACATTTTTGTGAGACTCCCTTTATTAATAGATTAAATTCCATTGTGATAAACAAGTTGTGTCAAACTTGTGTGTTCATAAAATCTTCAAATAATTTCATTGTTGACCTTTAAGGCCTTCCTCCTGCCCATTGATAAACACCAGAAGTTGTCAATATTCTAATTCTATATTTTTATTCAAGGCTTTGTAGTTTTCTTTTTAGAGGTCTTGATTCCGCTTATCCCACAGTGATCTACATAATTTATATAATAGTAATAAACCAATGGTAACAATTCTAGCACATTAATGCAATATGTTAGTACTAGGAAAACTGTCAGACACATAATGATTCATGTGATCGTTGGGATCAGACATTTATATTTAGAAAGATAACAGAGGAATAGATACAATAAGATTTTTTTTTTTTTGTCGATCGTGGGGTCTGAACTCTGGGCCTGGGTGCTATCCCTCAGCCCTTCAGATCAAGACTAGTACTCTACCACTTGAGCCACAGCACCACTTCCGGCTTTTTCTGCTTTCCTTGGACTCAGTCCGTCTTTCGTGGGACGGACAAAGACCCAACATCGGGCGCCCAACGTGGGGCACGAAAGGAAAATATACCAGCCGAGGCTAAACGGTCTCTCAGGGTAAGTGAAACCCTTAGTATTGGTAATTCTGTCTCGCAGAAGGAGGACTTGGGAAGTGAGCAGGAAAAGGAATGGGCCAAATTTGACTGAGAACACACTGATCAGACAGAAGCATGCACAGTGGAAGTCAAAACGAGGTGAAGGCTACCTCCCCACTTGGGTGCCCTTGATGGTCCCCACCCTATGCCCCCGAAAGGGGGGAAGGTATGGCGCCCTACGCAGCCCTACAGAGGGACCTGTGAGATCTGGATCCCTATGACTGACCTTCCATGGAGGGGCTGAGTGCTGGGGAAGTAACCTACACAGAAGCTTACCCTATAAAGGAAGGGCCACCCAGAAGCCCGGACCCTGGGCCACAGGATTCACTTCCCCAAGCATATCTGGTCAATCTGGCACCAGGAGCTAACAGACCCTTGGAATGGTATCCATGGGAAGCTAAGGATCTTAAAGAGCTCTGCAAGGTGGTGGCGGAGGATGGACTGAACTCTCCTTGGGCCCACACCCTATTACAGGACATTGCTTATCACCCGTGTGTCCCTATGGACTGGCTGGATGTGGCCAAAGCCATCCTCACCAGTTCTCAGTTTATCAAGTGGTGTGGTATGCTTTCTTTAAGGAGGAATGCAGAGTTCGGGCACAGAATAACCAGCAGGCTCAACCCGCGATACCTATTACTTACACCATGTTAACAGGGATGGGGGAAGGGTACACCACTGGCATCCAACAGGCTACAAATACCTGGTCCGTACTGTGATCAGGTGAGGCAGGCAGGACTTGCAGCGTGGTACAAACTGGATGAAGGGCCTACTGAGTCCCCCATAGCAGGAGTGAGACAAAAACCAGGTGAACCTCTACCTGATTTTATAGACCTAGTCCAACAGAGTGTTCATCATAAGCTGCCAGCAGGGGACCTCCGAGATGAGTTTGTAAAGCTACTGGTTTGGGAAGGGATGAATGCAGACCATCACACGGCTTGTGTGAGATTGAGAGATAGTTCCCTGAGCAGATGGGTTGTGGCCTCGCAGGATGTGGGAACGCAACAGTACCAGTCCCAATCACTAGCGTTAGCTTTACAAGCTCGGACGTCTGCAATGACTGAGGCTATCACCCAGGCACTGGCAGGCCAGGGCCAAGGGACTCCAAGGCCATCAGGGAGAGGGACTTGTTTTAAATGCAGACAGGAGGAGCACGTTAAGGGGGACTGTCCACAACAATTACCCTCCCCCCCCAACCAGCCTGGGGGTCCAAACTGCCCCCTACACCCTGCCCCAGGTGCAAGAAGGGATACCATTGGAAAAAGGATTGTCGATTCAAATTTGATTCAGAAGGGAAGACTTTAAACTAGGGAGGGGCGTCCTCCAGCCCCGTTAACTCAAGGAGGAACCCCCTCTGCTGTGAGGCCCAGGCAGCCTCATGGCAGGATGACCCAGGCCCATTGGACTGTCCCCTGGCAGAAGGACTCTGCCCTAAAATGAGTATTTTTATAGGCAGGAATCGGTTTCACTGCCTAATTGACATGGGGGGCAGATCGAACCGTACTCAGGGAGGAGAAAGTGCCCTCGGACTAGAAGCTTCCACAC